TTAGTTCAATATTCTTAAGTAGAAAAGAAATGAGAAATGCAGCTGCTTAACTTCAAAAATGTATTTAACTTTAATAACATACAAAAACAACAACTCTAAATATTAAACAAGGGCAGCATTTAAAAAATACAAAAAAAATTACTAAAAAAAGTTAAGCACCCAGATGGAGTAGTGGAAATAAAATGAATCTGCATGTGGTGAAAAGTCATGTGACTGAAACTGATATAGTAAATGAGTTTGATAATTATTTTACACGGGTATTCACAGGGCCCTGATATACGGCGGCCGAGAAAGCCCAATGAAATTCAAGATAAAGAAACGCACATCTAATAGAAAAACGCGCTGCAAAGCAACAAAGCAACTTCATATATATGAACACTGCACTGCACTGATATTCATCAAAAAGCTTGGGACAGAACCAATTTTGTACAAATACTGTTTAAAATAATTCGTTTTTAGTAGTCAAGTAGTCATGACAACATATAGAAAAAAAAAATCCATTTTTTTACTTTACTTTGGAGGCCCTACTTTGCCTGTCTGCTTCTGTCTAGCTATCTGAGGCTAATGCTGTGTGCACATGCTCGTGCCGATCCTCCTGTGTGCCACCCCAGCAAACATGCCCCTTTTTGGGACCCGTGTGGAGCCACTGCTCACAGGGAGTGCCTTTAAATGGGGCCATCAAGGTATGATCAATAATTGTTTTAATTAGCTTTCGCTGTCGCTTTCTCTTCTAACTGTGTTTTTGATTGGAAACTGTCTCGAGATCGCGAGCTTCCTGCTGCACTCAAACGCCCAGCGCGTGTCCCCATTCCATCCATCCATCCACCTTCTGTACCCGCGTGTCCTATTCAGGGTCACTGGGGGTTCGGAGCCTATCACAGAAGCTACAGCACAGGGCAGGGAATGTGTCCCCAGTGAGTACACAAAATAAATGGCGGAGCCAGAACACTCTCTACGATGAGGTTGTTTTCTAACCCACAGCCAAAATGAGGTACACAGCTTTAGATACTAATAATAATAAACATTATCATTGATAAGAACTAATTAAGTAATAACAAACAACAATAACTTATTATTGATGTTTGTTGATAAATTATTATTAATTAATTTCATTAATCACTAATATAATTAATAATTACTTGGCTTGGTGACTGTGTGCAGTTCTAATTAGAAAGGGGCTGTCAAACAAAACTGCTGCAGGCCCTGCATATGGGGTTACTCACAGGGGGCCTGTGTGGGTTTTCTGTGGGCAAGCCCAACTGTGGGCTGGCCCACAGAAAACCCACATAGGGGCCCCAAAGGGCAAAACACTGGCCCACAGTAAACCCACACCTGCCCATGCGGGGCCCAAATGGGCATGTTTGATGGGACGCACCCCTCACTACTTCGTGTGGGAATCCCCATGTCATCAGCTGTTTCGAGTTGTGTTTCATTAGTTCAGTGTATTTAAGTCCGTGTCTGTGCACCTTTCGTTATTCCATTAACATTGCAATGTTGGATGTTGCTCGGTGTGGTTTCCCTGGTTAAAACCCCGTGTTCACCCGACTCCTGCTCCTATTTCCAGGGCCCGTGCACCCTCGCTACATGACGGAAAATAGAAAGTTATTTTCTCTCAATAACAAATATGGTCTCATCAAAGCTTATGATAAACTGCTAAAAACGAGCCACGGAGATGAAGTAGCAAAACTACAATAAGCTATTTTTCATGTACTGTATTATAACGTATTTGAATTATACACAGTTCAGTATTTTAGTTTGTACAGTAATGTAATTTCAAAAGCGTTTGACATGGTCGTACTGTATTTTGAAATCAAAATTTTGTAAATAATGATACTGTCCATTTTATTACCTTATATCCATGTAAGAAATATACATCGGTTAGATGGTAATCTGCCTGAGACATACAGAAAAAAATGGGTTATAATGATCATCCGCTTATAGTCAATTTCAGCCAGACAGACGTGATCACTGTAAGCGGTTTCCACTGTATCTTCTATTTGAACAGATTGCTACAACAATAATCAAGAAGCTATGTGGTAAATGGTAGGATTAATGTGATTGATAACTGCTGTACTATAGCCTATTACTGCTCAGAGAGCTACAGAGGTTAATGAAACACAGCTGCCACTAATTATTTACTGTACCTTAAAACCATGCACGTTTACATCAAAAACATTATTACTAGCATGTGACCACCCGGACAAAGTGTGCTCCGGAAACACTTCCGTTGTGTTGTTGCTAGTTGCAGCGCGTTTCCGAAGCTGCGGTTGCTTTGTAGCGCGTTTCTCTATTAGACGTGCGTTTCTTCATTTTGAATTTTATTTGGGCTTTCTCGGCCACCGTATTGATGGCATCTTTTAAAAAAAAAAAAATAATAAAATTTCCTTGGAAATGTCAATAAAATTGAGTACAATGAACATTTGACAGACATTTCCCCATTTTTCCCTTTAACACTGTATGAACACCGAACAACCCCCACCCCTCCCCCATAACATAGGGTTCACTCACATGGGCCAAAAAAAAGAAACACTAGTAAAAAATTACAGAGATAGATAACCAAAAGGGGAAGCTGCGTACACCAAAAAAAGGACTACCATTATGGAAGTGGACATAGTTTTAATCTTACCCAAGTAAGACAAAATCAGACCCCAAACAAAGAATTTATTTATTTATTGTAGAAATTGAGACAGATCGGTCAACCATAAGGACAATCTGGGAGGGTTTGCTGATTTCCAATGGAGTAATATTCTTCTACGTGCCAACAGAGTTGTAAATGTGATAATGTCTTTATATCTTTTCCCTAAGCACTTAACACCAGAGACACCAAAAATAGCTGTGAATGCATCAGGCTGAAGATATACATTGAGAGCATCCAATAATACTTTGAAAATTCCAGCCCAATAGGCTGTCAGGTTTGGAATGGCCAAAACATGCGAGTTGTTAGTGGGGGCATTGTGGCATCTATTACATGTGGCATCTAGATTAGGATAGAATTTGCGCAATTTGACTTTTGAAGGGTGAGTTCTATGTAATACTTTAAATTGTATAATACTGAGTCTAGCGTAGGAGGCACGGTTATTCACCCTTTATTGAGCGCAATTCCAAACGACGTCATCAATGTCCACCCCTAGCTCATCTGCCCTAATCTTTGAGATAGTGGTTGTCTTGAGAGAAGTTATAAGGTCATGTATTCTTGATATGAACCCCTTTAAATTTAATGTAATCCCCAGAATTGTATCTATGACTGATATTGAAGGTGCATTTGGGAAGTTGGAATTGTGACTCTTAAAGTGACGCACCTGAATATAACGAAATAGGTTAGACCGAGGTTAATTAAATTTCTGAGAGTTCATCAAAGTATGCAAATACTCCATCTTTGTACAAGTCCTTGAACATGGAGATCCCATTTCTTTGCCAGAGGGAATATGTTGAATCCAATTTTGCAGGGAGGAAAAGGTGATTATTACATATTGTGGCTAAAGAAAGAAAGGCCTTAAACCCAAAATGCTGTCTAAATTGGAACCATATTCTGAGGGTGTTTGTAGCTATTGGATTATTAGCAAAACATGAAACTGAGAGGGGCAGACTGGAATAGATCAAGGCTGGTAGGCTTGTGGGAATACAAGATCTGGCTTCTAAATGTCACCAGCTCATATCTGGGTCATGAAGCCAATAAAGAATCTTCTGAATGTCTACAGCCCAATAATAGTAGCAAAGATTAGGTAAATCCAAGCCACCCTGATGCTTAGGCCTCTGCAATAATTCTTAACGT